GCAGTATGGTGGGGAAAGTGAGCATTTTCATTCTCTTACAAAAATTATGCATCTGCTTTGCAACTTTTTTGTCTAGAGTCCTTCTGCCTCTTTTCATTTCTTTCCAGTGGGATTTCCTGTGTTTATTCATAAATTTACTCAGAAATTTCAAACTTGCACAAAGATACCTCAGTAATTCTTTTCACTTTGACTACTGTTTTTAAGCCTTCAGCTTTAGTTTACAGGGTAATGTTTTTAATTAAAAACTCAGTGCAGAGTTTGTTCATATGTACTCTCAATAATTTTTAATTTCATAAATGTTTTTGATCTTTTACTGGTAGCATAAGTTTATTTTTTAGCAGGAGACTTGTAATATTACCTTTCACATATTGTACTGTAGAGTCTGACTGATTTAGCACTAGATGTCAGTTAAAGATGATTCAATAAATAAGGAAAGGAAATCTGAAATGACATAATACATCACAAATTGCTGTTTTCTGTACTGTTGTGTACTCTAAGAACTTGGAGGGTGAATGGACTCATATGTTATGTTTCATGGCACTACAGTAATATAAAATATAATTATTTAGATTTTACTTTAGGAATACTAGTTAGTGGTCACTGTGGCGTTTGCTGTAGGGAAATTATTTTGATTTGAGGGTAACAAAATATGAAGTGGTCTCACTGGTTTCCAGTAACAAAAGCATAACCTGTGTCTTGAAAATTTCAACCCAAAAATGAGCAAGTAAATCTGTTACTATCCGATGCTTTAAAAGAAAGACTTTAGGCAGAAGAATAAACTAGCTAAAGAAGTGAAGGCTGTTCAAAAGCAGGAGGACTGTGATCTCCAACTCACAAAAAAAAAAAAGCTGGGTTGAGTGGGAATCCTACCAGTTATTGAAAAAGGTGTGATTTTAAAATAACAAGAGAAAAATTCTCATCTCTAGGCCCTGCTCCTTGGAAGAGATGGCTCCACATCTGCAGTCAGCAGAACCTGGGCTGGGGCTAGTGGTGCGTGCAGTGTACTGCAGCCATGGGAATACACCGTACTGCGGAGGGAAGTGAAGCAATCCAGGACCTCTCAGGTTTCACAGCCTCTAATCAAGCAGAACTACACACTCAGGCACAAAAATAGCCAGTAGACAAGTATAGGCAGTGCTTGTTCAGCTCTGACATGGAGTGTGAGCCAAGTTTCTCCCTCACTCCCGTGCCTGCCGCACTATTTTTTATCACAGTGGAAAATCGGAAGACTTGGGAAACTTCTTAAATTCATCTATATTTGGTTCAAATTTTCTACTCTTTTTAAGGTCACAAGTAAAATTAAGATCTATATTCTTCAAGCTTAAGGCATGTTGTCTAAGCCTCTGTTTCTGTCTAAATTTAGTAATTTTTTTTCCTATAGGATTATGTTTCTATGTTCCTGAATACAAGTGTGGAACTAGACATTACATCTGATCTGATTCTTTTCATTAAATCTGGGTAGTATTCATCAAGTTGAACTGAGAAGATTCCTTCTGCTGGCTTTTGTGTTTTCAGAGATTGTTTATCATATTACAGTTGAATTTCTAAAATTGAAGTACTTCATAAAGAGGAGTTGGCAATTCAAGGTACTTAGTGATTCAGACTAGTTGATTTGTGCCTAGAGTTTAATTCATTTCTATGTCTTTTACCTGTCAAATTGCCTTCTTGATATTTTCTGCAGAAAAGGTTTTCTCAAATATTGTGGATGGCAGTTAGGGAGTACTTGTGAGAAATTTGCCAGGAGCATTGGGATGTTCAGACACATTGATTGGCATGACCAAACAGGTAGAAGGTATAGGTCTGTGAATACATCATGCTGTGTTTACTCTGAATTTTACTCCCTGTTGCTAGATAACTCCAAATGCTTATTCAGTAGTCTGTGGCGGTGTTGGTTCAGTTAGCACTGAAAGACTGAACTGTAGTTTCTTTAGTGAAAAATTAGGATGATTTTGCACGCTGGCATCAACCGTAGGGATGCGTGTGTGTATTTATTCACTACACTCAGTTGTTTGCAGCAACTTCTGTGCTTCACTGTGGCAGTTTGATTTTGCCTGTGGGCTTTAGCACTGTTGGCACTTAATTCTTACCAGGGCAGATGCTTTCTGGCACTCAGTTCACAGAATTAAGGATTTGCCATGAAGCACTGTCCTTGTAACATGCCATTTGCCTGCTTTGTAAGTCCTGCTATGGCCATAGGAGTTGTGTACCTGAACCTGCAGGATTGTTGTTTCAATCCTTAGTATTTTGTTAAATTACGTTGTTTGGGCTCTTACCTTGCCTGTGTTAACTAGGACACAGTGGCTGTGGAGGTGGCTTGACAAGTTGGGCAGAACGGTAAGAGGGATAATAACAATATTATTTTATACTTTCACATCTCTTAGAAGTTGGATGCTTCTGCCATTCCAGTAGCAATGCTTTGATTCCCCATAAGGTGAACTGGCTTTTGCCACCTTCTCTGTGGGCAGTCTTGCCCGACGCCGGTAGCTTGTCACAATGCTAAAGTTTGTTAATAAAAACTATTTGCCCAATATCTGCTCCTGAACCCTAAGAAATTCTCTTAATCTGTATTACAGTATATGGAAGGAAGAGGCAGACTCAAATGTTTGTGTCTTTGGCAAGATTGCTGCTGCCTTGCCGTGAGACACCCATTTCATAGTTTCTGGCCATCCCAGATGATGTGATATGGGCCTCCATCAGAAATGAGAGATGCCCAGTGCAGTGAGCTCCAGAATTCCTCAATTTAGTGACACAAGACGGGGCAACATTTTTTCTATTCATTTAAGACTGTTATTAGTCTTCACTATGAGACAGGCTTTAAGATCGGGGAGATTTTAAAGCCTTCCTAAGATGTTCTGAAATTACCTTGATCTGCAACCTGTTGAAATACTTGAAATTTTCCTGCTTGGAGGAAATGGAGCTTTGCTAGCAGTGCTTGTGTAGCCATGGAGTAAGCAACTTTTATACTACTTTTATTTTTTAGCTGCATGTGGCACATACACAAAACTTCTTGTAAAACCATAGGTGGCTAGTGTTTAACAAAGCTGAGGCACTGGACTGTGTAACTTGTGTCCTAAGAATTCAATCCAATTTGAAATTGTCTTCTTCTTGTAACTTTAATTGGCATGAAACTTAGGTTCTAGTGATATTCTGTTGTCTCCAATACTTAAGTCACCAGCTTAAATTATTTTATTTGTTATTTATTTTAATGATTTTAAATTATTTTAATGGGTGTAATTCATTTGTTAGACACCGTGGCTAGTCATACTTGCTTCTTTGTTGAGCCTGATTATCATCAAATAATCTACTGCAAGTGACTGGAGTTATTTCAGCATCATCAGCATCGATTTGCTGCATAGTGGTGTCGTCAGTATTCTGGGGATGCTTAGATCAGAGATGCATTCAGGCCTTTTTTGTGGGTTTTCTTCAGTTTGCTGGAAAACCATTCCAGATGATCAGCTGGTTATCAGCACATGTGATCCGCGATGGGATAATATTTAGGTTTTTTTCTTTCAGGAACCATAAGGGTATTTCTCCAACCTGCCAAAACTGCAGTTCCCACGAGATGGTAAGACAAATGGAGAAGCTCTACCACTGGAAGGGGAAAGTCACCTCTGCCTCTCCCTTCCAGTTTGTGGCTCTGCATCCCTGGGGCTTGCCTGGTTTTGGCCTCAGCAGATGACAGACTGTGCTAGGACACAGACATATCCCTGAGCTTTAACTTGCTCAGACGAAAGAGTTTGCTTGGCCAAAGAGTTTTCTACTACATTAGTAAGGTTTTGTGGGTCAGTGAAGGGTCTGGTGAGCAAGAGGGAGGGAGAAGTATGTGCTCCTGAGGGACAGGAGAGATGCAGCTCCTTTGGCTGAGAAATTATAGACTGGGGTGCGTGTGGCTCTGCAGCCCAAGAACCAAACAGCCCATCTTAAAATTTCCAAATTATGACCATTTGGGCATTTTTTACATTCAACCTTTATTCAACTAAAATATATATTTCTTGCTAAACTCATACACCTGGAGAATCACCTTCAAACTTCTGTATCTCATGTTAATATCAGTAATGCTTCTGCTTAGTCAGCCACAGCAAAATGAGTCAATGAAGTTTTATAAAAATTTGCCCATTGCTAGTCAGCAGTTATTTCCTTGGTTGATGAAATCTGAAGGCAGTGAAAAGCTTTGGTGATACGTGTTTGTTGCTGATCCTGGGTCAAGGTGGCCCAGCATCAGCAATGAAGAAGGGACTGTGTACCTGGGATTTGGAACCACACTGGAATACTGACAAAAAAATCTACTGGTAAACAAGGATAGGAATATATATATATATATATAAAAAATCTGATTTATTTATAACAGATAATTGTTGCTCATTGGAGAATTAACTGAGAGGAGGGAAGGGAAAGGACACCATTTGCCCAGCAGAGATGTATGAAAACCAAAAGTCTTTAGAATTTTAAATCGGAAACGAGAACAACGGTGGCGACCGAAAGGGGATTTTTGCAATTCAATACAAGTGCGGGCTACAAACTCCGGCTGGGCCGTTAGCAAACGTAACGCCGCCTCCTCCTGATCCATTGCTGTTGTCACCTGCAGGTGAGGCGGCTGGTTCCCGTCTAGTGAACTGGTACACGCGCAAAAACATCACTAAGAAAAGGACAACTGTGAAAAAGTTCCCACAGAACAGATCGCGCGTCAGCCACCGCGCTGCAGATGCTCGGGGCCGGGCCGGGGCGCTGAGGCGGGGCCGGAGGGGCACTGAGGCGGGGCCGGAGGGGCACTGAGGCGGGGCCGGAGGGGCACTGAGGCGGGGCCGGAGGGGCGCTGAGGCGGGGCCGGAGGGGCGCTGAGGCGGGGCCGGAGGGGCGCTGAGGCGGGGCCGGAGGGGCGCTGAGGCGGGGCCGGAGGGGCGCTGAGGCGGGGCCGGAGGGGCGCTGAGGCGGGGCCGGGCCGGGCGGGGATGCGCGTCCCGGTTGCCGGGGCGGTGGGGGCGGCGGGGCCGCGGGTGCCGCCGGGAGCGCCGGGCCCGCCGGTAACCGCCGGGCGCTCCCGCAGGGGCCGCCCCGCCATGAGCGGCGGCGACACTGCCCTCGGCCCGCCGTGCTCCCCCGGCTCCGGGGGCGAGGAGCCCCCCAGTCCCTCTGGCGGCTCCTCGCTGTGCCCCGCGTCCCGCTCCAGCTGCCCGAGCGGTGAGGAGGAGGAGGAGGAGGGGCAGGAGGAGGAAGGGGCGGCGGCCGCCCGGAGCCCGCCGGGCCATAGGTAACCCTGCGGCTGGGACCGGGCTCCGGCAGCGAGCTCAGCGCTGCCCGTGCGCGACCAGCCGGGCCCTCCGCTGGAGACCCTGGGGACAGAGGATTGTTTTACATAAATATAGAATTGTTTGCATAGATAAGCGCTTTAAGCGCTTTGTTCCGGTTTTGTTTGTTTGTTTGTTTTGGTTTTGGTTGTTGGTGTTTTTTTCTTGGGAAGTCTTCTTGGGGGGGCAGCTGAGTATTTTTTAGGGGTTTGTAAACTGTCTGCAAGCAGTTGACCCGAGCCTCGGGGTCTTTGCCAGATGAAAAGCTGCAGCCTTTCCTGTCATCCTTTTAAAAGCTCTTGGAGACCAAAGGGCTCCTCTTTGCCTAGCGTATGCAGCTGCGTCCAGAGTCAGTGTTGCCTGTATGCATTGCACAGTGCCCTCTCCTGTGGTTTAACTTTATTCCCTTTGAATAATATGCAAGCCTAGCGTATCTTCTTTTTATTTGGGATCTCACCAGCTTGACAGGAAGATAAATAATTCTTATTCTTCCCTTTAAAACAGAAGGAGGAAGAGCAGGCAGTGCCTGTCTTATTCTGTAGTACAGCCTTTGCCATGGAAACTTAACTAACTTGTGCATTAACTGGTGGTGAATGTAATTAGTAAGGCTGAACTGGGCTAAAAGTGCAGGTGGGACACGGGTTCAGGATTCCAGCCTGGTTCTCACACCTCCAAGGAGAGCAGTGGAGGAATATGAACCACACTGAACTTTGCTTACAAGCACTTCTTGAAAAAAGCACTGAGAGTTCAGGAAAAGCATGTTGAAGCGTAGTCAGAAGCTTCAGAATGAAAAAGATAGTAGCCAGCTTATGGTCCCTTTTCTTTCAGCTTTTCTGTTACCTCACCATTTACTTCTTCCCAAGAAGGAATTTGTTAACATACCTTGAAGTTCAGTAGCACTTTGTTCAAGTTACAGCATGTCCTTACAGCTTGAGATGCTCTTTGAAACAGCTTTCAGTTTTGGGGCCTGTTGCTGCAGTATTCTCTGGCAGCACTGAGGTGCAGTTGAAGATGACCTCTCTTAGGCCCTGAGTTAGCACAGCCTCGTTCAGCTGTGGGCACAGTATATACTTCCCTCACGCAGACACCACTTCTGAGTAACTGTGTTGTACTAAGTGCCTACCAAATGTTCACAGAGCAGATTCCGGGTACAGGTGCCAGGATCTCAAAAGTATAATAATAAAGAGCACTCCTTACGTAGCCACTGCCCTCTCTACGTATGCACATACTCTGAATCTTTTTGTTGTTGTTGTCCTCTTAAAACTACACAAAAATTAGCTGGAGGCAGACGTCCAATGTGGGAAACGCAATGTTTGCAGAAGAGAAAGGATGTAAACAAGGCCTTGTGAAACGGTGTTAGGCATTTTCATACTTTCATTATGGACCAGTAGTGTTGTGTTTGATGGTGTGACGTAAGTGAATATATGGCAAATGATAATCACAGCGTTTTCTGTTAATCAGACTTCACTTCTAATGCCAAATATGTCTGCCTTCTGGTACAGTCTGAGAGCTTGAGACACAATACTGGGGAGGTGTTTCTCCCAAATTCACATTGAGGTCTTCATATTGAGTGTATTTTCCTCTGTTGAAGCTTCATGCTTATTTGTCTACAATAAATCTTCAATCTATTACTGTGAATCATTTTTTTGAGAAGTTGACAGCTTGAACTTCATAATTACTGAAACACATAGCAAATGTTATTTTTCTTAAATTGTTCCTTCTCCTAGTACTTTTTCTAAGGTTGCTTTAATGTGTCAGCCTTGTTCTAGTACTAGGTGCCATGATGCAAATCACGCAAAGCAGAAGAATGCGTTGAGGAAGTATCCCTGCCCAAAATGTCAAGTCTGTACAATTTTGTGGGTTTTTTCCTGCATTTGAATGCTTAATACTTTTATCCTTATATTTAATAAACTTCCAGAGAGTTACTGTCTAACAAAATGTGTTATTATGCATTCTTAAGTTGCATCCCTTATTATGTGTACGTGTTAAATTTTTGGTCTTTGGTAACGCTGCAGCAGAATGTGTTGGACAACGCCAGGCTTGGGAGTGTTTGGCCTGTGCTGCCTCTGTCCTTGCACTGTCTGCGTGTCAGGGTGTCCCTGTCAGTTCTGTTATGCTACATGTCTGTGGCAGCACAGTGTAAGAGAGGGCTGGGGGCTGATGTGAGGAGGAACAAACCTTTTCCAGGTGAGTTTTGGCGTGAATCAGTTCCCCCGAACGTGTCACGACCTGAGCAGCGAACAGTCGTGTTAGCACAAACACACCTGGGTAAAACAACAGAGAAGAGCAGGACAAAACTCCTTGGCATTGACATCGCCCCCAAATGCTTCCTGTCACAGAAATATATTCTAAAGATGACTGGGACAGAAAATGTTTTGCAACATAGTGTTGGAGTGTTGCTGTTTCCTGTGAATATGTTACACTTTCATATTGATAAAACCCAGATATATTATGTTTAAAATATTTATGTCTGGGGCCATTAGCATAATGGATCCTACTTTTGTAGCTTAAATTCAGCAAACACTTCACTGTTGTGAAGTAAATATATAGGTAGGTATTTCCAGAGCCCGTACATCTGTGTAAAATACTAAAGTGGAGTCTTGTTTCACTGTTTGTTATTAAGAAGAAATTCTGTGTCAGATAGAAGAAATCTTTTAAAGAAATCTTTCGGTATGTTTTCAATTTTTGTTGACTTAGAGCCTAATATACTGTCTTACTTAAGAAATAGTATGTGTATAGAATATTATAAAAGACATTTCTGACCTGGGGCTAGGACTGCTTCATTATTCATGAGTAAAGAAGTTATAAGTGAGTTATGTAAGGTATTCTCTTAAAAGTCTAATAGAACCTTGTATAATACCATCAAGTGTTGTATGCTTTCTGCAGTTCTTAAGCACGTTTCCTGTGAAAGCTTTTTAAGGTGGAAGACTTCACCTCTTCGAGTGAACGGATTCATAATGCTGAGGTGGCTTGATATCATGAATCCACTTCGATGGTACTTGAAAGAGGAAGAAATATTCTTGCTCTTTCTTTGCTTGTGCTAAAGGCCACTTGATACATGAGGCCTCTCTGTGGGCAAGGACAGGATGTTAATTTTAATCTGCTTTTCCTTGTTTTCCATGTGTGAGAAGGAAGGTGACGCTGATGTTACTGGTGTTCTGTTTGTTTAGGTTCTAAAAGGTAACAATTAGATCTGTTCCACAGTTTGGAGCGGGGGAGGACGGGGGTGTGCCGGGGTGGGGAAATCACTAACAAGCTAGAATTTAACGAGTAGAATGTAGAATATAAGGGGGATGGTCAGAGGTGCACTATAAATGCCATTTATCAGTTAAGGAGGTTACTGAGCAAGTAGAAAAATGATGTCATTGTTGTCACATTATGCCATAAAAGTAAGTTTTCAAGACAGTAGCACTGCTTAACCTTTCAATCCAATACATTACAGATAATATTCCCTTACGTTTCTCATTTTTAATTCAGGAAGGCTGAAGACTCTGAAATAGTAGGAGGGACAAAAGAGTCACCTTTGAAAGATAATCTTTCGCCATGGGAAGAGTGGTTCATTGGCAAAGAGAAGGAACTGCGTGCCCGCTTCCAGGCTAGAGCTGAAGAGGTGAATACATCCGACTGGCTTGATGTTAAATCTAATAGAAGACAGGAAACACCAGGATTTTTTTTTCCTTTGTGGAAACATGAGTAGTGTTGTCCACTTTTTTTTAGCGTCTTAGGTCTGCACTATGTTTGCGTTTGACAGTGCTGGCATGATTCGTGTTATGTGCATTCCCCTTTGCTAAATGTTATGCTTCATTGAAGTGGTGCTGTATAATATTTTGCTTGTCCAACTGTCAGGTAATGGTTCAAGTTTAAAAGATTAAAACATAGTTATATAATTGGTACCTCGATTTTTCATCTCGGGTACATACACCTGCACAGAGGTAGTAAAACACAGCAGGGTGTGTGCTGGCTGTAAGTATGCCAAGCTCCTTGGTTAGATTTGAGGCACAGTATTGTTACCCACCTAGCATGTAATTTTACAGCTGTTTGGTGTCCCTTCCCAGGATAGGGTTCCCTGTTACAGCATTTTTTCCCCCTCATTCTGTCTTTTGCCCCCTTGCAAATGAACAGTTCTTGAATACCGGGGCTGGGGCACAATTAAGTGAGAGCACTATATCTTTTCTTGATTAATATGTTTGTAGTTGCAGTTGATTAAATGATACTGGTGTTGAAAATCAAACTGGAAGTATTGGATAGTGATTAGAACAATCACATCAAAGTTAGATAATTTCTCACTTTAGTTACTGATTTACTGTTTGACCTTGAACAGTGCCCTAGCTCTTCTGTGATTATCTGTAAAAGTGCATATAGCATACAACTGTTTTATGTGGGCTACCTCATGTTATTTATAAAACACCTACTGATGGAAGGTTCTGGAACAGTCTTTTAGAGGTCAGCAGAACACCAAAGTAGTTCCTTAAGCTTGAGGAATATGTTCTGATCCGTTAATATCCACCCAATGTTTCCTGACTTCCCCTTTATATTCTAATTTGGTAATTGTCTTTCCCTATTTTGATTTTTAGGTACAAAAAACGAGCCAAAGCAATTTTAGGCATTATGTAGAAAATGTGGTTTGTGTATGGATCTCTCATGTGGTCTTGATGAGGAACCAAAACAATTTATTCTTGAGTATCACACAATAACATTTACACCATACTAAACGTAATCTAGCAGATGTCTCTCTACTATGTATTGAGAGGAATTATGGGACAAACATTACTTAAAGCCATGTAGAAAATGACTGTATAGGTAAGAGTTTTATTTTTAATTTGTAAGATTTTGAAAACATTAGGTATTAAACTGCAACATAGGCAGCACAAAAAGCTTATATTTGGGGGAAAAAATACAATCAGCATTTTTGTAAGATGCCAGAAGACAATGAAGTATATGATGATAGTGATATAAAAATTTATTACTACATCTGCATATAAAAAGTACTCTAAAGTGATATCATAAGAAACAACTGTGAAGTCCCAGATCTTTTGCTGGCAGCAGCAAGAAGTCTGTCCTGATTGTCAAAAATGTAGATAAACATTTGGAGTAGATAGTGGATTGGGTCTTCTAAAGTAATTATAGTGCCATCAGCTTTTACAGAAACCAGGATCCCTGCAACACAGATGTCTCAGAACTCAAAGGAGTGGTACTTGCTGTAACTTTGCCTCAATACAGCGACAACTGTATTTTCACACTATCTATTGTGGGTATTTGAGCTTTCTGTAGGCTCCTCTTGATGTCCTGCTAAACTGAATTCAATTCATAAGATAAAAGGGTTCTCTCTGAGACTGGCTGCAGTGTAGGAACCATAAAGTCAGTTTTGTGGAAATGATTCCATCTGTCTATGTTTGAAGGTATGAATTTTCATTGAAAAAGAGCACTTTGTGCTAATGCTCCTGTTGGAGAAGCCAGACTTCTCAAACTGTATTCTTAGTCATGTCTTTCCTTTATCAGTTAACTTCACTGGGGATACATAAGTGATTGCATATACACTGTATGTCATATAAAGATATTTGGGAATTTCTTCTCTCATCTTCAAAATAAAGCTCCTGTTTCAAAGTTTTCTAAAATCTGCAATAATTTTGGTTTTAATGAGCTTTGGGTTAAGCCTAGGTTCCTGTAGCTCTGGTACTAAAACTCACCAGTGAGTAATATTTCACTTAGCTTTTGATACCATCCACAATGCAGAGCATTACACAATGTAAATTTTAAGTGTTGTAGAAAAGTACTGCTGCAGATTAAGATTCTGCTGACTGAAAAGGCGTTTCAATAAGCTGAGGAGTGATTTGTTCCATTGATTTGCTTCCAAAGCTTAATTAAAATATGTATTTCCAGTTAATACTCTAAAAATTATACATTTCCACTGAATGTATTTCATAATATTTCTGTGTTGACTGTCATTTGTCTTTTCCAAAGTCTTAATGAAGGAAAAATACCAAAACCTAATGCTTACATTGTTTAAACTGCAACACTATTTCCAGTGTTGGTGTAGATGGTCACCACAGATTTAAGAGGTATACTTTTTCTTTAATTAGGTAATGAATATACAGCTTGAGAAGATGAAGCAAAAGCAAGAACGTGAAAGGAGGAAAAGGATAGCTGAAGAGAAACACAAGGAATGGGTCCAAAAAAAGAGAGAAGAGGTAAACATTGCTTTGGCTGCAAATATTCTAGTACATGCCATGTTTGAGTAAATCTATGTAAAATTTACTCAGTCTGTTTGGGCACCCATGTTTAAAGTTTGCTGAGTGAATGGCTGCTTTAACTGAAAATTATAAAACAGTTAAACATTTTTCCAAGACTGATCTGTTTTCTTCCTTAAGGTGTTAAGGGATTTGTTTTCTGAGTAGTCAGGTAACTGACAACTGGCCTACATCTTGTGCAGTGGCCTTCTGCTGGTTATAGCTGTGGTTCTGGTCTTCAGTGTACCCAACTCTTTCAGACTTCCTAGGTTCAGTGCCCAGGCATTTTGGGTAAAGTGTACACCCTGACTGTGTGCAATGTCTTGTACAGCAAGCAGAGACAGAAGAAGGATTTAGTGAAGTACTGTTGTGGACAGGCAAATAGTATGGTAAAGTTTAGAGGGATAATTGAGGTTTGGGGCCAGATTCAGGAAATTCTCAGTAGACCACAGTTAGCAACTGGGAATTCCTTCATACAAAAAGTAATTTCTGAGTGGGATCAAAACATTTTTTTAAGTTTTTTAAGAGAGGAGTGCCTTAGTCGAGGATCAGAAGCAGACAGAATCTTGGTCTCAGTGGGGCTCTTTACAACTCTGTGTCACATGATGTGAGCATATGCACTGGGTGACAAAAATGGGAATGCTTGGGAGACTTGGGCATGTTCAGCCCCTGGTAGTTCATGGGCATATGCATTCATTGTCTAATGGTCTGGAGCACAACCAATTGTTCACTGTTCTGTACTTCTGGTTCTGAATAAAATCAAATGAAAAGTGGTTAAAAATATCATAACGGCATCTAGCTGGGCTAGATATCCAGACCTTACAGAATCACAGAATATGCCAAGCTGGAAGGGACCCACAAGGATCATGGAGTCCAACCCCTGGCCCTGCAGAGGACCACCCCCAAGAGTTGCACCTTGTGCCTGAGAGTATAATCCAAACACTTCTTGAACTCTGTCAGGCTTGGTGCTGTAACCACTGCCCTGGGGAGCCTGTTCAGTGCCCAGCCACCCTCTGAGTGAAGAGCCTTTTCCTGATATCCAACCTAATCCTCCCCTGACACAACTTCAGGGTCCTGTCACTGGTCACCACAGAGATCAATGTCTGCCCCTCCTCTTCCCCTCAGGAAACTGTAGACTGCAGTGAGGTTTCCCCCTCAGTCTCCTCCAGGCTGAACACACCAAGTGCCCTCAGCTGCTCCTCACACGGCTTCCCCTCAAGGCCCTTCACCATCCTCATTGCCCTCCTTTGGATGCTCTCTAACAGCTTAATATCTTCCTTGTATTGCAGACACCAAAACTGCCACAATATTCAAGGTGAGGCCGCCCCAGGTCAGAGCAGAGCAGGACAATCCCCTCCCTCAACCGCCTGGTGATGCTTTGCCTGATGTCCCCCAGGACACGGTTGGCCCTCCTGGCTGCCAGGGCACTGCTGGCTCATCTTCAACTTGCCTTTGACCAGGACCCCCAGGTCCCTTTCCAGCACTGCTTTCCAGCATCTCATTCCCCAGTCTGTCTGTACATTTGGGGTTGCCCCATCCCAGGTGCAGAATCCAGCACTTTCCCTTGTTGAACTTCACACAGTTGGTGATTGCCCAGCCCTCTCATTTGTCCAGGTCTCTCTGAGGGCCTCTCTGCCTGCCAGGGAGTCAACAGCTCCTCCCAGTTCTGTGTCATGTGCAAACTTGCTCAGTGTCCCTTCCAGTCCTGCATCCAAGTCATTTATGAGGATGTTGAGGAGCTCAGGGCCTGAGATGGAGCCCTGCAGAACCCCACTAGTGACAGGTCACCAGTCTGATGTTGCCCCAGTCACTGTTACCCTCTGTGCTCGACCCGTGAGCCAATTGCTCCCCCACCCCCTGATGTGTTTATCCAGCTGTGAGCTGGACATTTTGTCCAGAAGGATCCTGAAAGCTTTGCTGAAATCCAAAAAGATTCCATCAACTGGCTTCCCTTGATCAACTAGTTGGGTTACCCAGGTTTGATAAGCAGGACTTTCCTCTCATGCATTTGTCTTCTTCCTTTCATAAGTCTCTCTTCAGATTCAACCTAGAATGACTAGAATAACCTATGTTTGGATCTAATCTAATTAGTCTTAGTCTTAATGCTGACTGGATTATTGGCATAAACCCGTTGCAGAATCTATCCTGCTCTGATCATTTATTATGCTTCAGGAATGATCCTTCCTAATTAAAGTACACAGCAAAAAGTGAAAGATTTATTACTCAGCACAAACAATGCCATTTTCCTCTTCTAAAATGAAAATTAAATTATAGGTGTCTGTAACTGTTCATTGTCTGCCTGTTAAAATAGTTCCCAGTTCAAAACTGGAAGTTCTCATTCTGTCTCCTCCCCACTGCCCCCACCCCCTCCTTCAACTTCTGTGGACTTCTACTTTTTTGGGGCCTCCGTGGACCTTCATCTTTGTGGATTTACTGACTAACATCTTCTATTGTCAGTGGGAATAGGAGGACTTTTTTTATGGTAATCACATCAGCCCAGAGGACAACAAAAACCCAGTTGTGTCTAGACTTTATCATATTATATTTTGGAAGCATAAGGTCATCCTTAGAGCGTGTCCCAAGCTTTTACCAAAAGTAATCTGCTTTTCATTTAAATTGGGTGATTCATTGCCTCGTCTTTTCTGTAAACCACACCCAAATGAAGAACAAACTGAACTTAAAAGCTTAGCTGTCTTTAGGATATTAATATTTGAGCTGCATAGATCTTAGCACTTCAAGTTTCCACAAGAGTATTTGTGGATCTGGTCACAGACCAAAGGATAAATATGTCAATTCAGTGACTATGAAGGTGTTTAAAATTGCATCAAGATTTCACCTGTAGTTTAAGGTTAGAGTCATGAACGCTGACAGTTGCTGTAATTTTCTTAGGGGCTGTTTATGCATCTACTATTTGGAAAACTCACTTCATTTCCTCATGGAAGTCTCAAAAGGTGCTTCTTGAGGCAAAACTTGCAGTATTCTTTACTGAAATGTGCATTAAGCACTCACCTTTTTCATATTCAACTATTGATTCTGAGCCCCTGTGTGTAGACTGCAGAAAAAGCTTTATTTGGCAAGGGGCAGTACTTTCAGGGATGTTATCTCTGTGATCTCCACAAGTCTGTATCCTTTTCCAGGGCTCAGTACTGTACTGATGAAGGAAGCAAGGCATGGTTGAGCGTACCTGATACTTTTTCCTTCATCTTGAGCATCCAGCACAAGGAGACACTGCTGGAATAGTCTTTATACCGTGAATGTGAGAGAATTTATGTCAGAAGTAAAATGTTTGTATATGCATAAAAGAATTCTGCCATTTTTCTGTATGTCAAGCCAGTTTTCTTGCATTTTGTCGCATGGCAACGTCAGTTGTGATGCTCTTACTGTTAAATATACTCCTCATATAGTCAGGTTAGGAAGTAAAGCATTGTGAATGCATAAACTGTGAAGAGTCTGTAAACTGCCATGACTGTTTAATTATTTAGAACATTGTCATAGCAGTCAGAACCTCTTATGAATTAATGCTGAACAAAATATTAGGATTAAAGGTCAGGCCTGATGACAACAGAGTTTTGATTAAATATTAAAAAAATTAACACTGCTACAGTGCACTCCACCCTCTACGCTCTAATTTGGTATCTTCCAATCATATTTAGTTCACCTTTACTGACTCTGCAAAGCTACTTCCTTCTTAGAATGCCAATAGAATATGAACTTAGAAATATCTGGAGTATTCAATTCATATATGTACATGTCTTTTCACTTAAATATTTATATATTGTTGTGGGTTAGCCCCAGCAGGCAGCTGAGATCCCACACAGCCACTTGCTCATCCCCCCACTGTGGGAGGGGGAGAGAGTCAGGAGGGTAAAAGTGAGAAAACTTGTGAGCTGAGATAAAGACAGTATAGTAGGTAAAACAAAACAAGGAATTCATCCCCCACTTCCCATGGGCAGGCAGGTGTTCAGCCATCCCCAGGAAAGCGGGGTGGCTTGGGAAGACAAATGCCCTAACTCCTAATGTCCCTCCCTTTCCTCTTCTCTCCAGCTTTTGTAGCTGAGCACAGCTACAAAATACAGAAAGTATTAGAAATGCATCCCAAAATAGCTAACTCTGAAACTCACGTTGTTAACATCCTTGTATTTAGTCTTTGCATGTAATTCTTTGTGTTATATCAACATGATATTTAGCAAAGTTGTAAGAGCATGAGTAGTGAATTTACACATTTTTAACTGGAAAAACTAATTAATACCAATGTGAATTTGACTGTAGCATTTCTAATACTTTCTGCATTGCAGAACAGAGAATAAGGCATCACTTGTTTTTTCAGCATATATGAACAAAGCAGGCATTAGTCATAAAATGTGAATGTTCAACTTTTTTTTCTTCTTTTTTTTTCAGTAAGACCCCTTTACTCACTGAAAAATATAATTTTAATGGAAACTAGGTACAGGATGGGAAAATTCTGTTTCAACGCCTTTTCACTGAAAATTTTGGTCTCACAATTTACTGTGCCCTTGGCTGATAGTCTTTCTGGGAAGCAGAGAGCAGTAAGAAGTATGAAGGCCTGGAACCAGCACAGTATATAGCAATGAATGAGAGTGTTCCTGGAGCAGACTTCCCTTCCTTGGTGTGCTGTGTGATTCCTCCCAGAAGAGACACCGAGATTCCAACTCTTACTCCAGAGACTTTCTGTTTAATGTGTGCTTTATCTCAACATTGGTAATGAAGAGCACAGATTGTTCAACAGCTTGAGCATGACTTTCAGGTTCAAAAGCCATGCTCGCTCATGCTCTCTTTCATCCAATGAGTTGTTAATTATCTTATGAGGAGTGGGACCCTTTCAGCAGAAGGGGTGAAGAATCCTGTCTTCCCAGCCTGCAGTCTGATAGGTGGAGACTTCTCCTCTCAGTGGGACATGTTAACTGGAATGCCCTCAGGGAGAAAAGTAGTGAAATCCAGAT